GTACCTTAGAATTAAAGACTAATACTCTAACCACTAAACTACTAGGATTTTTTGATAATAACTTATAAATAAATTATATTTATATACAAATAAAAATGTATATCCATGTAAATATATAAATATAAAATATATAAATATAAAATATATAAATACAAATACAAATATATTTATATGTTGGATGTGAGAGCGCACTTCGAGAGTGAAAGTGTGTGTCAAGTGGGTTTTCAAAATTTGATGTCAAATTTGTGAGCGAGTCTCTTTATATGAATTTGTAATTTAATGATAGAATATAATCTTTATAATTTATTTATAATAATATAGAATATAATCTTTATAATTAATTTATATAATGATATAAAATAAAGAAAAAAAATTATTTTATATCATTATATAAATAAATTATAAAGATTATATTTTGTCATTAAGTTATAATCTATATAAAGAGACCCGCTCACAAATTTGACATTAAATTTTGAAAATTCACTCGACACACACTTTCATCCTCGAGCGCGTCCTCACATCCAACATATAAATATATAAATATATTTGTATTTGTATTTATATATTTTATATTTATATATTTACATGGATATACATTTTTATTTGTATATAAATATAATTTATGTATAAATTATTATCGGAAAATCTTAGTAGTTTAGTGGTTGGAGTATCGACTTCGACTCTAAGGTACTAGGTTCGAATCTTGCCAGTGACAATTCTCTTAATCTTGAATAATAATTCAAATTCCTAAAAAATATAAATAATATAATAAATAAATAAAAATATTAGACTTTTTACATTGGTTAATGCATTGTGAGATAAAGATAACTTGAAGTCCAAAATTTAGTTGTCAAACTTACGCTTTGATTTGAATTACTAAAATACTTTTTAAGTTTTATTTTTCATTAATTTAAGAATTATAATTTTTCCCTTAATAGGAAACTTACATTGAAGAAACTCATAAAAATCAAAATTTCTCCTCCTTAACCAACTTAAAAGTAACTCATCCACAATAATCATTCTAGTTAATGCTTGTTTACATAATATATTAACATCAAAGTGTACATAAGGGAGAATAATACCACTCCATTTCACAACTTTTTTTTTCACATTTGTTGAAAGGTAAGGAATTTTTTAGAAGGATCACTGCTACAAATAAAGCTTTCAACGTCGGTTGTTGAACCGAGCGTTGTATCGAACGACGTTGAAAGTCGTAACTTTCAATCACTAAACTACTAGAATTTTCCGATAATAACTTACAAATAAATTATATTTACATACAAATAAATATATATCCGTGTAAATATATAAATATATAAATACAAATATATTTATATATTTTGATATATTTATATAGTTATATATTTATATGTTGGATGTGAGGGCACACTCGAAAGTGAAAGTGTGTGTCGAGTGAGTTTTCAAAATTTGATGCTAAATTTGTGAGCAGGTATCTTTATATGAGTTTGTAATTTAATGACAGAATATAATCTTTATAATTTTATTTATATAATGATATAAAATAAATTTGGGAAACGCGTTATTCGCTCTCAAGCGAAAAATACCAATTTTTTCTCAAGCGAGACTTGAGTGAGTGAATTTCCGTGAGCTTTAACATATTTTCACTCAAGCAAAAGTCAATCACACTTTCACCCTCGATTGAAAAATACCAATATAATTTATTTGTAAGTTATTATCAAAAAATTATAGTAGTTTAGTGGTTGAGATATTAACTTTGAACCCTAAAATATTGGGTTCAAATGCTATTAGTGACAATTCATTAACTTAAGAGAATTTTTGGATCAAAAAAAAATAAAAATACTTTCCAGAAAATATATACAAATAAATATATATTTACATGGATATATATTTATTTGTATATAAATATAATTTATTTGTAAGTTATTATCGGAAAATTCTAGTAGTTTAGTGGTTGGAGTATCAACTTCCAACTCTAAAGTACTCGGGTTTGAATTCCGCCAATGACAATTTTCAAATTTAAGTGAGTTTTTGGGTGAAAAAAAGTAAAAAAAAAAAAAAAGACTTTCAACGTCGGTTCATATGGGAACCGACGTAGAAAGTACTTTCTACGTCGATTGACTAAGAACCGACGTAGAATGCGTTTAATATTCAACTTTCAACGTCGGTTCATCTCAAAACCGACGTGGAAAGTACTTTCTACGTCGTCTCAGCCTATAACCGACGTTAAATGACGACGTAGAAAATATATTTTGTAGTAGTGTCGATCAAGAGACTTTTTCGAAAAATTTTACACATTGATGTAACAAATTATTTATAAGATTACTTATACCAATTTTTTTTTAGAATCTTTTGCTCATAAGCTACTTATAACTCTATTGGTGTCTTTAATTTTCTCAAAATAATTCCAACACCAAGATAGGTCTATAAGGGTTTTTATTACCTCAATCTCCTATTTTACCGGATGTACATTCGTCTATGATTTTACTTTTCTTTTTAGTTTTTTTACATTGGAGTTTCCTTCTTTATTCAAGTAATCTTGTTCTCACATATTTATTAGTTCATTTGAAGCCTTATCATATTGAATATATGTATATGTTATGTGTTTTTGACCTACAACATAAATCCGTAAAACATCAACTTCATAAATATTATATATTAATTGGATTAAACATGTGTAATTAGGAAAGAAATTATTACCTCCATTTGGTGATGGTTGGTTGATTCTTGAAAATTAATAACTTGAAAATTTTGTTATAATTATAATTTAAACTACAATAAAGTATTATTTTAAATTAAATACCAATCATACAAATATATTTCAATTAATCTCATTTAAATAAATGGCAATTATATAATTGTATTTTTCCATTTTAAAAAATAATATATAAAATATACTTAGAAAATAATATATATTTTTTTTCATATAAAAACTTACAACAGGATTTCATATGAACAGAGTATAAAGACAAAAACGACAAAAATAAACTTACAATAAAACCAATTAACTTATAGTAAAATTAGAAAATAATATAATATCTTTTTAATGTAGAAACTTAAAATAAAATTTTATATGAGTACAAGAATAAAGAAAACAAACTTACAATAAAATTAGAAAATAATATAAATATATAGAATCTAGGTGGAGCAGAGTATGGATCAATAAGAAAGAAAATGATCTTGTAATAAAACCAATAAATAGAAAGAAATGAAAGTTAATCATCAATACAATTGTGTGATATGTTGTCACGGTGATTGGTTGTTACAATGTTGCGTGATTCGATGTGGCCGCATGCTAGGTTTATATTGATAGAAAATAAAGTTGTTGGTAGTGTTTTTTGCCAGTTTTATATTATTTAACTATATAATAAAAGTATGATAAATTTTTTTATACTGCTATCTATATTAAAAATATATATATTATTATTATAAAATTTCCTGTAAATTTGTATTCATAAAAATTTGTAACAAAAAAAATGTAATTCCTAAAAGTCCTTTTTTAAAAAATTGCATATATTTGTAATAAAATTTATATAAATTTATTAAAAATAATTTTTTGCAAAAGAAAATGACAACTGTTTCTTATAAATATTTTTTTTAGGTAAAATTAATAGCTATTGTTTTAATAATTTTTTTGATGAATAATTTTAAAAAAAATTGCAAGAAATAAATGAATTTCTAGTTGCCTTTGTTTCATAATTTATTTTTTACTTATTTGTATCAACACTAGAAGTGATAAATACATGCATTATATTTTTCTTATTAAGTATTAATACAATTTCAAAATGAAAAGGATTATTGTTTTTTATCATTACTTTGTTATTAGCAAAAATTAAATAGTTAAGTTATAAATAAATATTTAAAAAAAATAAAAATGAGACTGAAGACACTTGCATGGCATTATATCCACATTAAACACCAAAATAAAAGCAAATATTATAAGCTTATATGATATTGTCATATAATATTATATTTTAACTACTTTTATTTTTTATTTTTTTACGTATGAAAAAAAGTTAGGGGCGTCATGTCATGCGTGGAACCGAGATTAAAATAATAAGCTGAAAAATTAATTTAATATTTACGAATGAAAGAACAATCTAAAACTTAGTAATATAATGTATAAAGCATATAAATGGGTCTTTAAATATTACATCATCAATAATGAAATGCTTAACTTCATGCCACGTTGTTTTTCAAGAATTAAATTAACACCATCTTACATAATTAAAGATCAAATTGGTTGGCACCAGTAACAGTGGATGGTATCTCTTGCCAAAATCATTTTGATTATAAAATACTCCAATGGAAATATCCATATTGTTTGCACTTAGTTCCCAACGAATTCATCATTCTATCCAGCACTGAATAATTTGTATCAAGACATGATTAAAATTTCGCCATTTATCTTTAATTTTATGGTTATTGATTAAAAAAATCAATAAAAAATAATTAAATTATATTTAGGAGTGTTGTTGAAAAATAATTTTTAAAAATAAAATAAATTTATTTATAGAAAAATTTAAATAACTATTATTATAGAAAAGAGCAAGTTTTGTTTTTTGGAAACAAAAGTTGACCTATTGTAGGTTACCTATACAATCATTAATTAGAAGTTACTCTAATTCCCAACCGTACTTGCAAGTGTGCAAATATGATTCCTTTTGTAGGTGGGAGTTAAAACAAGAAAGAAAAAAAAAAGAAAAAAAAAAATTCCCATTGAAATATTCATACATTCAATAGTCGTTTTCTATCACCCTTCTGGAATTATTCCAGCGTTTTGAATTGGGAATTCTCGTTGATTGAACGGGCTTTGACTATTTCAATCCAAAAGAAAAAATGGCTCAACACATCTATAAAAGAAAAATGAAACTCGAGCAACATAGCATTAGTGAAAGACAAATATTACATGCTCTTCCACCACCCTCCATTGGTAATAACCAATAAGCAATTTCACAGTAAAATTAGAATCTTCTTGTTAATTTCCACTTCAGTTGAGCCTATCTGGCTGCAGAAAAATAATGGCAAATGCATGGACAGAAGATCAAATTGCTATATTCCATGAAGCCTTTGATGTTGTTGACAAGGATTCCGACGGTGTGGTCTTTTGCTTCACTTATATATATATATATATATATATATGCTATCTAGGTTCTAACATAAAATGTTGATCCACTTTTTAATTAATATCCACATATCATGGTCGTTAATTTTGATGGGTTATAAGAGCAGTTTTAGTTAACTTTGATTGACAATGTTTGTGATCATGTCTAGGTTTCATTAGTGTGGAAGAACTGTCATCCATTGTTCAGTCATTAGAAGGAAACACGACAAAAGAAGAAATTCAAGAAATGATTAGTAAAGTCGATGTTGATGGAAAAGGAAGTGTAAATTTTGAAGAGTTCTTGAATGTTATAGGAATGACAATGAAGGTAAGAACAACTAGAAATGTATGGAAACCTTGAGAGAAAGGAGGGGGAGGGGGAGGGGGGTAATCTTACTGTGGAAAAGTCATATGTTATTTGTTCTTAAAATAAGACTGAGAAAAATCTTTCATAAAAGATTATTGACTGCTTTAAGTAAAGATGATGAAATATTTTAATCGTCAATTTTGTTAGGAAAATCTGAATGAGGAGCTAAAAGACGCGTTCAAAGTGTTTGACAGGGATAACGATGGATACATATCAGCTACTGAGGTAAACATGCAACAACCTTAACTGCCATGCAAATCAATCTGCATTGAATTCCTTGCACATATTAAAATCACGTGGAGAGTTTTATTTTTGTCTCGTTTACAAACCCATTATTAGATTGTGACTGAAACCAGACACTTTGTTTGTAGTTGAGACATGTGATGATGAAGTTGGGAGAGAGGCTGACAGAAGAAGAAGTTGAACAAATGATTCGAGAAGCAGATTTGGATGGAGATGGTAGCGTTAGCTATGAAGAATTTGCTAGGTTTATGACATTTAATTGATCCATCTCATTTGAATTTGGAACTTCTTAGGACAGAGTGACACCATTGACTTTTCTTTTGACCATTCTATGTTTTTTTCATTATGACACCATTAATACTGTCCAAATGTTGATTCTCTCCTTCTTTCAACCTTGACTCCGTCGTCTTATTAGCATGTGTCTTAAGTATTTCTTTGTCCAATGTTATACAACATGTGATGCACGTGTATATTTATATTTACTCATAAATATAAAGGTAACTTTGGACATGTGAATTAGGGCTTGACTAGTAAAATTACACGTTTTTTCTGATTTCTTATTCGCGTTTACTATTTTTCACCAAAAATAATGAGAACAAAAACTAAAAAAACTATGTCATGCCATTTTCTTTATTCTTTTATTGCATAATGAGAATATAGTACGCTAATGGTAAGAATTTAAAATATTAACAAGTCATACTTTTCTTCAAATTGGTGAAGCATAAATTCTTCTTGGAATTTACTTTTTTGAAGCTTTCTTAAATATTACTAATTAACATTCATTAATTATATTGGAAGAAATGTCATGGCATGTATTATCCTATATATAAATAAAGGAGGGAGGCTGGATTTTAATTTAGGAGACGTTAATGTTGTGTTTGGATGAGGTGATTGAAGGGGGTAATTTATCTTTTTGATGAATTTGAATTTTCAGTAAATTATTTGTTTGGGTAAAAAAATTAAAATTCCCTAATTTTTAAAAGGTAATTCAAATAACTAAAATACCCTCAAAAAATAAGAATTTGAAATTCTATTCATCTTCGTTCCTCTTCCTCATCTTAAAATTCTCTCATAATTAATATATATATATATATATATATATATATATATATATATATATAATTTTATAAGATCAAGATTTTACTAGTTTACTAGTATAAAAGCATTGATTATTAAATAAAACAAAGTTTGAAAATTTTAATTTTCAGTTAACAAAATTTAAATGAAATATTATTACTAATTAAACTTCATTCTATACAATCATTCTCTAAATTCTAAACTTAGTGATTTTTTTCTAAAATCCTTCCTAGATTTCATATTTTTTTTCTACATCATATAAATACATTATAGTGCTCCTAACAAAAAAATAATGTGTCTCTATTATTAGAATTTTCATTTAGGTTTTTTATTGTTCATTTTTTTTTAAACTCTTGAGTGATTTTGTGTTGCACGAAGCATCTTGATGTTGTTGCATGCCAAGAGTTTTTAGCACAAATGAAATTTTGCTAACCTAAAATCTTTGTATTGTATTTAATTTGTGGGTTTGGGTCTTTTTGAAAGCATAATTGAAGATCCTGTGAAGTTTATTGTGTTCTTTAGATTTGGAGAGATAACATTGGGTTCATTTCTCACTCAAGTCACTACAAGAAAAAACACTATTAGCGACCGAAAAAATTGGTCACTAATGACAAAAAATCGGTCGTTATTCAATTAGTGACCGAAATTAGCGACCAAAATGGTTCGTCGTAAAAGGTCAAGTCGCTAATTTGTTAGTGACCGATTTACATTTCGGTCGCAAAATAGCGACCGATAAGGTGGTCGCTAAATAATTTGGTTACTTATTCCTTAAAGACCAAAATAGCGATCAAAATTAATATAATGAATCTAGTCGCTAAATCGAGTGGTAAAGTTAAAAAAATAGCGATCGATATATTCGGTCGCTAATATATTAATTAAATTATTTAAATAATAATTAAAATCGATCGTTAAATCGAGTCACACAAATAGCTGACGTAAATTAATATATTAAATCTGATCGCTAAATTGGAGGCAAAGTTAAAAATAATAGCGACCGATATAATCGGTCGCTAATACATTAATTGAATTATTTAAATAATAATTTAAATCGATCGCTAAATCGATTGTAAAAATAGTCACGTAATAATTTTGGTCGCTAAATTTCAATTGTATATTATAATATATTTGTAGCGACCAAAAATTCGGTCGCTAATCTAACCAAATCTGAAAATTTTCGTTTAAAATTTTGTATATCCAATTTTGCAAAATTTGTACCTGCTTAATTGATCCAAACAGAACACAAATGAAAACTTAAGAACTAAAGTCAAATTATTCAAATCATAATAAGAACAATTCAAAGTCATAACAGAAATAAAATGTTTCTAAACAACTACTCAAGATTCAAAGTCTTAATATCATAAAATTGAAAATTAGTCCTTTAGTATATTGTCAGTATCATGTTGACTTGTAGTAGGATGACTATTCATTTGAATATTTTGTAAAATAAGCTGCATCTGCTTCATCTGCTCATCTTGTTGGCGTTGGTTGTTCCTCAACTCCTGCATCTCTTCTTGAAGTGTCTTCTCCTTATTATGCTTTGCCACCAATTCAGCATTTAACTTTTCAATAGTCTCACGCATTTGTTCAATTTGATGAAGTATTGGAGTTTGAGTAATAGAAGATTGAGAACCTGAGGTAGTAGTGAACTTTTTGCTCAATGTACCAAGTCCATACACATTTCCTTTTTTATTTTCACCTCCAACAACTGAAAAGTATATTTCATTATCATCAATAGAGACAATAGGAGACTCTTGTGAAGATGAGCCTTCACGCAAGTTATGTTGATGGACTTCTTCTCTGTGCTGCATATATTGTTCCTAAAAATGAAGTGAAATATAATTATTATGAAGAAAACATATATTGAATAATAAACTATAACTTAGATGTTAAACATACAACAAGATAACGAGTTTTTTCATTGACCCATTGTTCAGTCTTTAATTTCTTTGTCCTCTCAACAACCTCCCAAACGGTTGGTTCCTGTTGAAACTCCGTAGTCTACACATTAAAATGAGACAAAATTCATTACCTAAAGTCTAATATATTGTATTAAATTACTTATATAAAAATATAATAAACTTACCATCTTCTCAAAGTGAGCTGCAGTAGATATGGAACCCCCACAGGTAAGTCGAGGCACCCTTATCAACAGTCTCGATTAGCCTTGGCAATGACACTCTTGTTTTGGAAATCTGGAGAACTCCAATGTAAGTCCAAAGATGCTCGAACAGCTGGCGGTATCCAGATCCCCGTATCCTTACCATTCCTAACTTTGTTCATTGAGTTTTTTAAAATTCGAGAACCTTTCTTATCAAAAACAGATCTTATGGCTTGCTCTTGTTCCACATCCCATATATACTCTTTCTGCATAAAAAAAATACACAATAAACATTTAATTTATAAGAATGAAATGGCATTGTTTAATGTAACTATAATTCAAATTACCTTGAACTCTCCAAACCATCTATCTCGAAGCTCAAGTGAAACCTTTCTCCAAGTGGGACTTGGTTCATCAAATTTTTGTTTGATGATTCTAGAGATTATAGTAGAAGGACCATTTGCTGGTATAAACCTGTGTTCAAACATATTGTGGGATTGATATTATTAAGAAATTTCATATTAAAGAATTATAATTAAATTAAAACATACTTACTCTCCTTTGTCTGCTTGTAACCATGGCCTTTGATCAACCATATTTCCAGACTCAACCTCAGTTGCGACTGACCCAGGTACCTGTGTAGGTTGACCAAATGTCGCCTCAGTAGAGAAGGTAGTAGGAATTGTTTCTCCTACTATAGCTACAGGAGATTCCTGCTGAGTTGAGGGAGGTGTGCGTTCTACAAATATAGGATTAGTAGACTCCATGGATCTTGGTCGAACAGAACTAGGAGAGTTAGGGTTGGGTGAACCTCTATCATCAACAAGTACACCTCGACCACCACGATGAGGTGGTCTACGACCACCACTTCTACCCCTTTGTGGCATCTACAAGCGGATCTTATTACATATGTAACATGCATAAAATTAAACAATTGAAATAATGAATTACCTGATTTTGTTTTCTACACCCAAACGTGTCAGTTAGCTTACCACTCATTCACTACAAATAATTAAATCATAATCATATCAATATATATATGTATATATATGCAATATTAAATAAAGGTGTACAATCAAATTTAACAATTCTAAAAATACTTTTAATGCATGAATTACCGAAGTATCTGTATCATCAAAATCACTCTCAGTCTCATCCTCACTTGAAATATATTCATCCTCATCTTCATCTATATTTCTTTCATTTAGTAATTGTATATCTATTTTTTCTCCCCCACCATTAACATCGGCAAGGGAATCATCAATGAAGTTAGGATCAACACGAAGCACTACTTGAAGTCCTACAAGCTCATCATCTTGGTATGGAGTCTCATGCTCAACTTGACTGACTATATTATCAATGATTCTACTACGAGATTTTGTCTTTATTACACCCAACCAACCTCGGTGTCCCTCTGGATAACTTGTGTAATAAACTTGTTCTGCTTGTTGTGCAAATACGAAAGGATCATATGCTTTATTATATCTTCGTGATTGCTTTACTTCCACGATTCCATACTTATTATCTACTTTGGTTCCTATATTAAGAGTATTGTCAAACCATTCACACTGAAAGAGAACTAAATTCATCAATGGCAAACCAGTATACTCTAATTAAATAATATTAGACAATAATCCATAAAAATCTGACTCTAATTGACCATTGGTTCCTCGTACATAAACACCATAGTTACAGGAATTCATGCCTTCACTCCAAACAATAGTGTGAAATTTGTATCCATTAATAACATACATAGGCCATGATTCAACTTTTCTCTTGGGACCCCATGCCAAATTAACCAATAATGGATCTTCAATATTATTTTCTGGATTTAGAACCTAAAGACAAGCAAAGTCCTTTACACATTAGACTATGTAAGTCAGAATAAATATTTGTAAGACATATAAGTCAAAAACTTACATATTTTTTAAACCATTTAGGAAAATGGGATGAAATGTCTTGGTCAATTTGGGCACCAGAAATACTAGGATTTAGTTGTCTTAAATATTCAATATAAATACTGCAAACACGTAACAAATTACTCAAACAACACAAAGTAACATGAGTAATTTTGATGTGAGAGGAGTG